ACACACTGCAGGGGGGAGGAGAAGCAGAACCACCTCCGTGCAGTGGGATTGGCAACATCTGTAAAAATTACACACATACCCTTTGATCCAGGACTTTCCTCTCTACAAAATTATCTGACAGACACAGGCACAGATGTGGGGAATGTTCGTACAAGTCATTCTGTGCAGTATTATTTGTCTCAGAAGACCAGAAATGCCATAGTTTTCCACCAACAGGGGACCAATTAAGTACTTTCTAGTATAATATTCTTCCAAATGGAAAACTATGGAGTCACCAATAAGAATAAAAACGGTTTCCTATGTACTGATACAGAGGATCTCCACGATAGGCTAAGTTTGAGAAAAAGGCAAGTTCAGTTCACAGAAATGTATCAACGTCAGTTCCTTAGTCGTGACAAAAGTGCCAAGGTGATGGGAGATTTCAACAATGAGGGGTGCTGGGAGAGGGGTTATGGAAACTCTCGGTACCGTGTAAATCTAAAATTGCTTCACACGAAAAATTTATTGAAAATGATAATAAAGATGCAGAGCAGTGTGTATAGTATCATGTGTACCTATGTGTGTGTGTTTAAATGTATATGCCATGAAGATGAATGAAGATAACCAAGAGGAAAGTACGCAGGTTCTGAATACTCTTTTATTCCCACTAAATTTTGCTAAGGACTGAATTGAGTTTCCCCCAAATTCATGTGTCAAAGCCCTAACCTACAGTGTGATGGTATTTGGAGGTGTCTGGAGGGACCTTTGGGAGGTGATGGGGGTCAGATGAGGTCATGAGAATGGGGCTCTTATGATGACATTGGTGTCCTTATAAGAAGAGACACCAGGGAGCTGGCTCTCTCAGCCCTGTGAGGACACAGCCAGGAGGTGGCCGTAAACAAGACAGGAAGAGAGCCCTCACCAGGAACCTAATGGCTGGCACCTTGATCTCGGACTTCCAACCGCCAGAACTGTGAGAAATAAATTCCTGTTTAAGCCCCACTAGTCTGTGGCATTTTGCAATGGCAGCCTGAGCAGACTGAGGCACATTTTACGTTTCCTGTTTTAGACACTAACATTAAAATGATCCAGGGAAGCTGGAGGAGGAGGCAGGGTCCAGATCCTAAGGGGAATGAGGGCAGGATTTGGGATGAGGATGTGTCCCTGGAATGGGGACAGCACATCCATTGGACATGGAAGAGGCCATGCAAACCCCCTGAGAGCAGGGTCGGGGGTGAGACCAGGTTGTAAGCTGATGATCGAGTGGGGGCTTCCCCCATCTGCTCTGCCCACACCTGGCCTGAGCCTTTCTCCCGTCTGAGCTCTGAACCTCAGCCCTGCTCTGAAGGGAGGAGACAGACCCCGCTTCCACCACAGCCCCTGAAGAGGAGAGGTTGCACCCTACCTGGGCCTTCTTTCCAGAACACGCTGATGGTCAGGTTCTGGGGCGCATCTGGACAGACAGACATAATTGTTCCCTTTTCAAGGACAGGAAAGTGGGTGTTGGCCCTTTCCCCACAGAACTTTAGAAATAAGAGCGGATGGAGTCGGTTATGCTCTTTCCTTCCTCCCCAGAGCCAGCTTGCAGGACCCAGCACCCACTATCCTGGGCTCTGCCTCCCCGTTCCCCTCCCCAACACCCACTGCCCTCAGGGACCCGGCCACCCTGGCCTGACACTCACAGGACACGTTGAGCTGGATGGTTCTCTCTGCGCTCACACCAGGTCCGGGTAAAGTCACTCGACAGGTGAGGTTGGTGCCATGGTCCTGGGGCTGTGGGGTGAGGGTGAGCACCGAGGTACGGGGAATCTTGGGGCCCTGGGAGGTGAGGGCCACCCCAACCCAGGAGAAGGTGGGGGGGCGTCCCCCTCTCACAGGCCCATGGTGCAGTACAGGTAATGTTCTTGGGGTCGCCAGCTTCTAGGGTCCCCTGGATGTGGATGTCAGGTGTCTCTGTCAGAGCTGAGCAGGAGAGAGACAGAGACCAGGCCTGGAGGTGGGGCCCCCAAGGGTGACCCTAAGAACAACCTCTGCCTCAGGGCAACTGTCTCCTCCCCACCCAGCCTCAGCATCCTGTCCCCCTGGGTCCCTTCCAGGATGAGGAGCAGGGGTCCCCTCCCAGCCCCACCCTGGGGGCTCGCAGAACCCATCCACGTGTCCTCTCCTTGTCCCCATTCCTTACCTGACACAGGCACAGAGAGCTGGTTCTCTTTGTAATTATATCTCGGATCAGACCCTCTTTCCACCCTAAAGAAGTATTTCCCCTCATCTCCTCTCTGTTCGTCTCTGATGTCCAGGGAGCAGGTGTAGTTCCTAATGTCCCGGAGGAGGTGGAATCGTCCCTGGGTCTCCACCTGCTCTTCACGATCTGGGCTGTTTGTGGCCACAGGAGCACCGTGGTCTGTATTTGTACCTTCTCGGAACCAGTAGCCGTAAGCTGGGTCAGCATCACTCCATTCGTCCGAGGGATAGGAGAAGGTACAGGCCACAGAGACACACAGGCCCGCTTGCACCGTCACAGACTCCTGCACTCGCAGCTGGAATCTCAGGTCATGAGCCTGGGGCCCTGGCCACCCGTCCCGGCTCTCTTTGCCCCACTCTGCTGCCCACAGCAGGGGCAGCCACAGCAACAGCAGCAGCAGCAGCAGCAGCAGCAGCAGCATCTTTGGGGGGACGAGCCACAGGGCCTTGGTGTCACAGGACTGAGAGGAAGCCCCAGTAGGTAGCCCCGGCTGAGGTCAGAAAGGTGATTGACCGCAGAAGGAGAACTTGACACTCACGTGCTGTTGGAGCTGGCCTGGTCCTTGGAGAATAAACAGTCCTACTTTCCAGATGGGGACCCAGTGGGGGTCGCAAAGAGCAAGGAGGACCCGACCCTCTTCTCCTGGCTCCCTCCCTGTGACCTGTCTCTCTCGCACAGCTGTCCACAACAGGAAAGCAGGCACTGCCTGGACAATCACAGCCTCTAGATGAGGGGCCGTCCCTCCAGCAGTGGGACGCAGGAGGGGCTGGTGGTGGAACCTCAAGGGGAGAAAGAGGGGAGGGGTCCCCCACCCCTGGGTGAGGGAGGTGGTGACTGATGAATGAATGAACACGACCATCGCCTCTCGAGCATCTACTCCTTTCAGGGGAGTGGAGCCAAAGGGACAATGGGACAGACTTTGTCTCTGTCCTGGAGAACGTCTCTAACACCCGAGGAGGCAGAGCAACCCCAGGCCCTTCCAGCTCCTGTCAGTACAGTGTGTGATGGTGGAAGCGCAGGTAGGAGCTCGTAGGAAACGCAATTGCTCTGTGCAGCCAGAAGCTGAGCTCCCAGGTGTAAATGGCCAGAGTGGCGAGATCAGCTCACAAGGTGACCCCCATGCGTGGTCCGGGGGCTTTCTGGGCTGCCCGCAGCCCTCTGATCCTGGCATCCTGGTGTTGACTGCACAGGCCAGGCCTGAGATCCAGGTAACTGGAGCAAGGTGACAGCACAGCATGACATTGACGGGAAGCTGCAGCTTTGGAGTCAAGGCCTGGCCCTGCTCCCCTCTAGGCCTCACTTTCCTCACTTGTCACATGGAGGGGTCCCCAATTCTCAGCCGTCGTCGGTGAGAGAATCCAGTACGATGACGGAGGTGGGCAGTCCTGCAGGTCAGTGCCTGGCCCTGCCCATTCCTCAGTGGTCATTCTGAGTCAAAGCCTCAGCGAGCAGCTCCAATGGTCAGCAGCGCCCTGGGACTTCCTTATCTGAGGCCTCCAATGAGGGGGTCAGAGGCATGGACTCTGCAACCAGATGGCCCAGGCTTTAGCCTGGCTCCCTAATGCTTGCTGTGCTGACTTGGGAAGGGGCTTAACCACTCTGTGCATAGTCCAGTGCCTGTGCTCACAGGGTGTTATGGGCCGAATCGTGTCACCTCCAAAATTCAGATCTTGAAGCCCTAAACCCCAATACCTCCAAATGTGACTGTGTTTGGAGACAAGCCTTTAAGGAGGTAATTAAAGTAAATGAGGTCATTAGGAAAGGCCCTAGTTGAATAGGACAGGTGCCATTACGAGAAGAGGAGATTAGGGTGCAGACATATACAGAGGGAAGACCATGGAAAGACACAAGGAGGAGCAGGCGGCCGTCGGCAAGTCAGAGAGAGAGGTCTCAGAAGGGAACAGCCCTGCCAACACTTTGATCTTGGACTTCGAGCCTTCAGAACTGGGAGAAAATGAGTTTCTGTTCTTTCAGTCATCCGGTCTGTGGTACTTTGCTATGTCATCTCGAGCAAACTATTACACGGGGTCCCCAAGAAGATAAATGTGTTTGTGCAAGTGAAGTGCTCTGCGTACCCTGCTCTGGCCCACAGGGGACACAGTCCACTCAGCGGCCAGTGGCCAGTCTGCAGGGTGGGGCCATATTGAGGACGGGAGGAGAAAAGGAAATGGAAAGTTCTGGCAACTGGAGGAACCTCTGCTGCTCCTCCGTGCACCAGCTCTGAGCTCCGCAGGCCCCTTGCTTCACCCTGGCCATACTTCCCCCCCTCTCCCCAGGACAGGACGGGCTCCACAGGCCTCTGCTGGGGCTGGTCTCTTTGCTGGCTGAGGCTGGCGCTGCTCTTGCACCATGGGGCCTGTCTCCTGTGGGGGCCTGGAATTGGCCACCCCAAGATATGTCTCTTTGACATGATGATTATTTGGGACTGTTACTTTGCAGAGAGGAAAACAACGGAAAAGTAGAATTTACTTACCCTTTGTAAGAGACATTTACATTTGTAAGGAAATCTCCATCTGTAAAGGTCCCTCCCTCTCTGTACCAGGAAGAACAGGGATGACCTTATCTCTAGAAACTCCTATCAATACAGAATGCTAGGACTTAAATCTGCATAATAATCTTATTCCTGTTTCTGGTAGCCTCCTGTAACTGACTCCCCCAACCCCCAACATCCTCCTTTGTCTTTAGCTGGATATGATATTTAAGGTGGGGGCTTCAGCCATTTTGGCGAATTGCTCAGTTTGCCTGAGCCTCTCCCATGTACACATGTTATAAAGCTTTGTTTAATTTTCTCCTGTTATTCTGTCTCATGTGAATTTAATTCATTCTCCGGCCAGAAGAACCCACAGCAGGTAGAGGAAATGTCCTCCTCCCCTAACAGTTTGGCGACTTGGACGGGATAAAATTTCACTGGCTGGACACTGTGCAGTGCTGGACTGCTGCAGCCGAGAGATCCCGGACCCCTGACGAGAGCCAGCAAGAGGTAAGAGTTCTTACCACATCAGTCCCCCGGATCTCTGCCTGCAGGCTCCAATGGAAGCAAGAGTGCTGAGTTTTTTGCTCTTCTAAATTTAGATTAGCAGAAGAAAATGTTGGTGAGGCTAGCTTCTCAGATTCAGTGACTCTAGGATTTGAGTACTCACTGGTTGTAGATCCTTTTCCTCCCAGAGATAGACTTTTCCTTGTCTCTGTCTTTTTGTTGTTTGTCATAAGACACAGGCATCTCTATAAGCCTGTTGTCTGGGCTTTTTGTCTTGTTCTATGTCTTGAGAGCTTGGTTTTGTGACCTTTCTGGTCTCCTCCATCAGAGGATGCATGTACTAGGATGCATCTTGGTGGCCAGTTGTGTAGACTGGGGTCCCAGGACACACTCTTTGTCCAGCTGTGTTAGCTCTCTGGGGAGTTTGTCATAAGAGGCCCCAATTGCTTTCATAAGGGGCCTTTGTCATCTCAACCTTTGTTGCTTGCTGTGCAATGAAGGCCTTTACTTTCTTAGACTATTTTTGGGAGTGAACTTTCTAGATCTCTTTTGGGGATGCCTCTTTGTGTCCTTGGTTAAGCTTTGGTTGAGTCGCTGTTAAGATCCTACTCAGCGATTTGGCCAGACGATGGATCAGTTAAATTCGGAAAACTTTTAAATTGGGGGGAGAAAAATTGTGAAAGCTCTCATCATAATTTTTATTGGTATCTATGAAAAGGCCAAGTTAAAAAGGAAACACAAGAAAATGCTGACTAGGTTTAAGACCCTGATTCAAGTTGTAATTGAATTGATGAAATATAAAGGTCTAAGTGTTGATAAGATTGTAAAGGTTGGAATGCTTGAGCTGATTTTCTTTATAAAGAGGTTATGTCAACTTTGCCTGAATATGTTTTAAAATGTCTGGCTGGGAATACTTCCCTATCCAATAATAGAAGACCAAGACCTATTAAGCAAGTTCTGGCCATAGGTCCTGTCCCCATGCTGCAGCTCTTCACTGCCCATGGGCCCATGGCCCCCATGCTATTTGAATAAAGGAGCACTACTTCCAGACCTTGAGAGTCCAAGAAATCTTCCCTTTGACTCCTTGGCTTGCTGAGCCTGCTTGCTTCACCAGCTTGTGAGCTGAAGTTCTAGTCTCCTTGTGCCTTTCTCTTTCTCAAGGATGGATCGAAATTCACTTCTCCATCAGGAACCTTCTTGGACAGCTGTATGAATCCACATTTGCTGCCCATGGCTACTCTATGGGGCAAACTGTGGCAATCAGCCTGAAAAGAATCAGTATCTTAAGCCTGAGAGTGATGGAGAATGAATTAATCCATTCCTTCCTGGCTCTATCTCTAACATATAAATTTTACATGGGCACGGGTCAACCACTTGAGTCATTAGGACAGTCGCCAATCTCCAAGACTCCTGTGACAGGTTTATTTTCCTAAGGCTGGATTGGAATCCCTCCCTATGGCTCCTGACCACACTCTGAACCAAGGGAAAGTCCCAACCAGGACTCCTGGCCACTTACTTCCTGCAGGTCTTCACGCTGATGGGAGGCACCAGGAACTTTGACACAGGTCACTCTTTTGAGGCTGGAGTGAAGGACTAATGCAGGTTGAGGGCAAGGTGAGCCCAGGAGCCTTCATAATAAGACTTTGTAACAAGGTCCCCTCCCATGCATCTGGGTGTCTGGAACCAGACTGGTAACACGTCTGCCTGGCTCGGGGGCCACCAGCTGGACTCTCACCACCGCTGCACATCCTGACCCTGCTATAGGCCCTTTCAAACCCTCCAGGTCCCTCTTTTCCACCTCTTGGCTCACATCCAACCCAGCTCACATGAAGAAGATGAGGCAGAGGCAGAGAGCAAGCAGTGCATTGACACAAGCTCCCTTGTCAGCCACTTGAATGATTCCTGCCAGTCGTCTCTGGTTCCTCCGCAGAGAGGAGAGGCTTGGAGTGAACTCCAATCTTTTTGAACAGATATGTGTCTTCTCTTCATCATGTAGAGAGGGGAACCCCGCCCCCACCATCCAGGGTTCAGCCTCGGGGTTCTCCCTCTCATCATAGGACCTTAGCCTTCTCCAGAAAGATACGGTCCCTGTGACACCTTCTATCCATCCCCACACTCCTGTCCCACAGAGTCCTACTATTCTAGGACCTAGGTTCTTCTCCACCCAGGGTCTCTCTGCAACAGACCCCAGACCTGGCTGAAGCAGGAGTGTGAGGCTCTGGGCTCTGTGGCCATTGCAGAGAGAGACACACACAGAGCCCCAGGGGATGCTGAAAGACTTTATCCTTCCTTCCAGAGAGGGAGTCTGAATCTCCCCTCCTGTCCTCCACAGGTCCCATCTCTCAGGGTCAAAGGTGATCTTTCATGCCTCCAGTTGGGGGTGAAACCTGGGAGCACTCAGACCATCAGGTCAGATCAAGACAGCTCTCCTGATCCTGCCTGGCCCTGCCTCCCAGGAACCCAACACCCAGGGTGAGGGATGTGTCTCTGGCATCAACTGTCAACAGTTTGATGGGTGCCTCTGAAAAAGCCTCGGTGGGACTCACTGTCCAGCGCAGGGACCACATGCCATTACCCATGGGAATAGAGCAGTGGAGGGAGCTGGGCTCCAGAGAGAAATCAGGGCGGCAGTGGGAGATTGACGTTAAAACATGGCCTAAAGTTATTTTGGGGACAAAGAAACTACTCTGTATGATACTATAGTGATGAATACATGTCAATATATGTTTGTCTAAATGTATAGATGTACAACACCAGGAGTGAACCCTAATGGTCCCTTACAGGGTCACACCAGCTGCAGGGAAATTCACCTGACAAGTGAGGTTGGTGCCACAGTCCTGGGGTCCAGGGAGGTGAGGATAGCTGATATCCAAGAGAAGTTGGGGGGTGTGACCCATTCACAGGTCCAGGGCACAGAGAACGTCAGGTTCCTGGTGCATCCAGACTCCAGAGTCCCCAGGATCAGGATGTCTGGCATGATGGTCAAGGCTGGTGAGGAGACAGGAGACACAGGGATCAGGAAGGAGGGTCTGAGGTGCGACCCTGAAGGAGGCCTCAGACTTTCGTCCAGCTTCTCTCTCTAAACTCCAACATTCTGTACACTCGACCCATCCAAAGAGGAATGTCTCCTCCCAGTTGTGCCCTGGGGCCCTTACATCCTCCCCCTGTGGTGTCTCTTGGAGCCTGCTCCTTTCCTACACACACACAAAGAGATGGATAAATACATACATCAATATTGTACTTCCTCTCTCCACGTTAAAAAAGTGTTTTCCATGATCCATCCTCCTGGCGTCTCTGATGTCCAGGGAGCAATCGTAGGTCCAGGGGTCCCCGAGGAGGTTGAATAGGCCCTGGGTCTCCTCCTGCACTTTTTAAGCAGCATCGTCTGTGGCCACTGGAGCATCCTGGTCTGTTGGCCCCTTCCTGGAATCAGTAGCTGAGAGCCAGGTGGGGTCAGTCCAGCCATCCCTCGGGGAGAAGACAGTGCAGAGCATCCACAGGCGCAAACCCTCTTTCACTGTCACCAACTCCTGAACTTGCAGCCTGTAATTACTGTAATATTGCCGGATCTTCCTCTGGCCCTCAGCCTCCTCCCTCCACCAGAGCAGGGCCAGCAGCAGGAGCAGCAGCAGAAACACGTGTGGGATTGGCAGTGCCAGCATCTGCCAGGGAATGTTTGTTTCTCAGGGTTCTCTCTCAGGAACTGAAAGTTGCAAGACTTACAGGAGACTCCAAGAGGAAGATGAGGGTAACACCAGAACAGTGACCCTCCTCAGAGAAGGAGCTCCAGAACCACACACGGTCAGGTGTAGGAAAGCCCATGGAGTGAACCTCCCATCCCCACAAGCCCACTCCTGGAGACCCTGGACCAGAGATGGTGAGAGCTCACTCACATGCACATCGCATGCAGAGCCTGAGCCCCATCTCCTGCTTCCTTGTGGATGCCCTTCTCCTTAGAGGGTCATTTTCTGCAAAGTGAAAATGAGTTCCTTCTAATCAGACTTCCTGAGTCACGGGCTGTAGATGTCTGTGGAGATTGGTCCAGCCAGGGGAGGGACTCAGGGACACAGAAGATGAGGGAGACTGACTGTCCTCCCTCCTTCAGCTTCCACATCGTAGGGAACGGCTCTCTGCTCATGAGGTCACACACTAGATCTGGATGCTGCTCCAAGAGTCACTGTCCAGTGGGGAAAGGATACGTGTCCTAGCACCTGGAGCTCCCTGTGACCAGAAGACATGGAGACACGTGCTGGAGACACAGAGTGAGGAAGGCCAGCCTGAGGGTCGTCCACACTCAGGGATGGTGAGGATTTTGTGAGAGAAGAGATGTGCACCTGAATTCACAGGAGGTTATTTTAACTGTGTGGTGGGGGCTGGGAGGAAGTGGTGGGAATCCTGGGAGGTGGTGCCTCCTCAGACCCATGTTGATGTTCTTTAAACATTTCTTGGGGCAAACATAGGACACATATAGAGAAGTGTCCCCAAAAGAACAGCTCGGTGATTCATCACAAAATGAACACCCTCCAAGCAATAGAATGTTGGGAGCACCCAGGACTGCCCCTTTGTTCCCACTCCTTATCCACACCCCGCTCTCTCCAAGAAGACCAGCCTCCCTATAATAACAATTGATTCTTGCTTTTCTCTGTAGTTTTGTCATCCCAGCATGTTGCCTTTAATAATATGGCTTTGTATAAGCTTTTCTTAAGACTTTGTATACAAAGAAAAAATTACTGCCTGTTTCCTTCTGTTGAACTTCATGATTCTGCCCATCCCATATTATCCTCTTCCCAGAACTATCACCCAAAACCCAGAGTAGAGTCAGTGCTGTGACCATGGAGAAGGAAAGTGCAGGTATGAGCACGCGTAGACACTCCCACACCATCACCATTTCCTGCATTTTAAGCTGGAATCTCATTCTGCAGCCCCATCCTCCTCCAAGGACCCCTGTCCTGGCCACTCACTGTCTCCCAGCAGGGCAGCTGCAGCATCTGTGGTCAGAAGGGCTGGGCTGGTACCAACCCTGGGAGTTCCTGGACTCTTAGGTATCGTGTACTCAATCCCACTCACTCCCTGACTGTGCTGGAGATCCTCTCCTAGCTACCAAGTCCTGTCCGCTGTGACCAACCCCCCACCTCTGCCCCAGAAAGGATCAGACTACCGCCTATAGGGGGCGCTCCCTGCTTACCTGCTCCTGGGGATCCCCGGAAAGGGCTATGGTGCTGTCCGTGGTGCTGATTCAGAGCTGAGCGCTGACTTTGGCAATGTCTGCAGCTCTGTGGAGGGATCTGACCTCAACAGCACGGGGACCTTATCTCTGGAGTCAGCAGGGTCAAGATGCCGGGTGTTCTGGGGAGGGCTCAGGTTTACCTGTAAAGAGGGACTTGGGGAAGGAAGAGATCTATGGTTCTCCTCCATGTACTTCTGTCCACCCTCAGGAGTGTCCTGTGGAAAATACCAGGCTATTGTCACCAGTCCGAGGGCAAGGAAGGTGAAGGCACTGTGCTGCCCCTTTATATATGTGTCCCCATTTAATTTTCCCTAGGTTCCTGACAGAGAGGAGTGATCACTCTCATCAAATAGGGGAAGCAGATGACACTCAGACAGGTGACTAGGTGTAGGAACTAGTCTTCAAAGACGACCCCAAGCAATCTACCACTCCTTTATACAAAGATGGGCTCCTCGCCTTACAAGATAGAGTGTGTTATATTCTCCTCTTGAAGCTGGATTGAGTCCATGACTGCTTTGACCCATAGAACGTGGAGGACAAGATGTTCTGAGCTTCATACAGCTCAGACATTAAGATGCCCTGGCAGTTTCCACTCCTGCCTCGTGCATTTTTGGGCATCTGTGTAAGCAATCCAGGGCAGCCTTATGGAGAGAGATGCTACATAGAGGAACCCTGAGGGGTCAGATGTCTACCCCAGTCACTGCCAGCATTCCACCACATCTGCCTGAAAGATCCTAAAGCAAAACTAGGAGTGAAACTGCCCAACTTTCACCCTTATATTCCTGCTTCCAGAGAAGAAGTAACTTTTCAATCAGGAAATTTTCGTTGCCACACTACAAACTTCTGATTCTTTCCACTTGAGCCCATGTAGAAGTGTATGGCATGATGTTTTCTTCATCCCCTCGTTTGGATTTTGCTGGTGAAATTTTAATTCCTTTATTTGAAATGTCCTGTTTTCATTGAATACATGATGGGACTTGGCACTCCTCGCATCAGGCTAAGTTGCCAGCAGGAACTTGCATTTTCAAGGGATGAGGAGCCAGCACACAATGAACACATACCTCATACCAGGACCTGTACACAGTGCTTTACATGTGTCACAAGACACTTGTGAGATGGGGCTTCTTGTTTACCCACTTTAAAGAGCAGGAACATAAGGCACAGAGAGGTAGAATGACAAGGTTTCCTATTGTCACTCTCTTAGTAAATGGAGAAGCCAGGATTGAGTTCAAGTTTCTCTTATTTTAAAGCCGTATATTTTCTCCATGGCAAAGAATTCCCATTAAGTCATTTCTAATCCATTGAATAGAGAGAAATTTACTCCATGAGAATCAGTGCTTGGAGTCTCTCCTTCCCAGAGAAGCTCTGGGTTCCCGGACCTATGTGTCCTCTGTCTTTTCAATACTTTGTGCTGAATCTCCCATCCCTTGGCCCCCAAGCCTTCATCTTCTCATATCTGAGGTAATTTCAGTGGAACTCTTGGGTTGACTATGGTTTGATCTGGACAGTTTGTGGGCAGAAATCTGACTGTGGGGGAATGAAGACGTCCCATGTATGACCTCATCATTCCCATCATGTGAGCTTGGGAATGCAGCTCTGCTAAGGAGTGGCAAAGACACCACTACAAACTAGTCAGAGAAAAAAGATCCTTTCTTACCTGTACCATGTTCTTGAAAGGCCATGATGTCCACAGGAATGGAATGTCTGGACTGAAACATAGTAGGTCCCTCCTTTGTGGTGAAGGGTGGAATGAGTGTTGGTCCTCCTCATTTCTAGAGCCACAAAAACAGCAAGGAAGCTGAGTTCTGGGATTTCTCTTGTCCTTCTCCTCATTCTGGTCCCCAGGAACCGGGCACTGAGTATCCCAAGCCCTGAACTCTCCTTGGACTCCCTCCTGCACTCAGGGTGCTGGGAGTCCTGGCCCCACACTCATAGGAGACATTGACTTCATTGTTCTCTATGACCGCACAAGCTCCAGGAACCTCATGCATCAGGGTAGTTGATACAATTCCTAGGATTGTGAGGTGGTGACCTAAAAATGAGGTGTTTGTCCAGATCCTTTATTTATTGTGATATAGTGAACAAATCCCTCGACTGAGCCTTATGTGGAACTAATTTGCTTGTGATCCAACGAAGGTGGCTCAGCACACAACGACATGTCTGTCTTCCCAAGGCAGATTGTAGACCTGATGAGCTCCAGGCAAACAGGTGATGCTCTCCAAGGTGCTGAACTATGGCCAGATTCTGAGCTCCAAAGTCACCCAGTCCGAAAGGAATCAGACCCCTTAAGCTTGGGATCTAAGACTTGGGCCCTGAAGACAGCCATATAACCTGGGGTGTTGAGAAGTTATGGCCTGCCTACAAGAAAAGGATTTGGGGATAAGAAGACCCTCTTATCTGTGGGCTGGGGTTCTCTTATACTTCTCTTTGGTTCCGAGTTCACCATTAGGGACTCTTCTGCATGTCTGGATGACCCTAGTTGCCTAAGGGAACTAAGGATACTGAGATTATAAGAAAGACTTTTAGACCTAATATTGAAGAAACCAATAGAGACCTGAAGAGAGAAAGATTCCAGGGAGGGGCCTTTTGTATAGAATTTGAGAAAGGCAGTGAAAGGAACTCAGGGGAGGGGCCATCAGTTTCAAAAATTAATTATTATAGCAGTGAGAAGTATTCATAATTCTTATGTACTGAATGCCAGTCCGGGGGCTTAGTGGTTAAGATTCTTTGCTCTCACTGCCACACTGCAGGTTTTGTTCTTGGTCAGGGAAATACGCCACCCATCTGTTGGTTGTTATATTGTGGCAGCTGCAAGTTGCTGGGATGCTGAAAGCTATGCCACTGGTATTTCAAATACCAGGAGGGTCATACACAGTGGACAGTTTTCGATGGAACTTCCACACTAACACTTAAGAACGAATTGGCCATTGATTTAGGAAAAAATTGGCCGTGAAAACCCTAGGAAAAGCAGCAAAGCATTGTCTGATACAGTGGCAGAGAATAAGAGGATGATGCAAAAGCGACTGGGCTGCATTCTGCTCTGCTGTACACTGGGTCCCTGGAAGTCACAAGCAAGTTGATGGCACTGAAAACAAATGTACTATTATGTTTCAGGAAAACTTTAAAAACATGCTTTCTCAGAAGACCTTGATAGGTATAATTTATACCTACTAAATAGAATATTTTGATGTAGAACTTAGAGAAACCAGCTGACTTTTCACTCATTCTTGAATGGTGATTGATCATCTTCTCTGTGTCCAGCACCATCCCACACATGAGGTTACATGGTGCCCACAGTACAATCTATAACATCATCAACACCAGGTCCCACTCCCCAGAGCTGACAAAATTCGATTACCATCTTGGCATGCTGCCTTCTTTTTTTCAGGACATTTTTTTTTTCTCATCTTGATCCTATAGGAGGTATGATTTTATGTCATTCTATTTTATTTATATTTCTGGGTAACTTCCAGCCTCCTAAATTACATTCTCATTGTTTTTTTAAGAGGAGATGTGCTATATTTAATTAATCTCTCAAATGAGGTTGGGCATTTATTTTGTTTCCACACTATTTTGAGTGAATGTACTATAATGTCACTGCCCTTGGAGATTATCAGTTTTTCCAGTTCTTTCTCACTTGGTAACTGGAGCAAATTTCCAGAGCAAAGATCAGTAGAGATCACACTCCTGATTAGAACTTTCAGTGGACCATAAACTCATTTTCTCTACAACAGCATTGCTCAGCCAATTTCCATCCTGAATGTCCTAAACTGATGAAGCTCACACAAGAATCCCACACTCTGGAGTCCAGGTCCTTAGAGGCACATGGAGGAGTTGAGGGAGGTAACCAAAATCTGACTGTTGTTAGAAGGAAGAAAGGCCAATGGATTTATGGAAAAAAAAAAAAAAAAGCTGTATTTTCCCACAGTATCATTTCCTTCCAGTCATCTCTTTTTCAACTTCCTCAAACAAAGCATGCAGTGAGAAAATGGAGTTGTGGAATGATCAGTTTTGGGGTTTCTCTCTTCGCTAAATCTTCCTGGTTTTCTGATGAGGAATTAGTCGAATGCTCCAGGTTTATACAGTAATATGTCGATCACAAGTGACAGGATACTTGTCTATCCAAGCAAAGGACAATTTAATGAGAAGACTCCAAGGACTTCAACATCATTAAATAAGAACAAAACCACCTGTTGGGAAAGACAGTCTCCTGAGTCCCTCCCACTCCTACAGGTCTTGCTGGGTCTGTCCATAACATGATGCTGCAAATGCTCCTTACGTGGCCAAGTTCTCAGGGCTGTGACTGGAGGGAGAAACCTTGAGAGACGAGGTCATTTCTCCCTCCAGGACAAGAGCAGGCTCACTTGCTGCTGGCTATGAAAGTGGTAGATTCTGAATTTGCTCATCTTTGCCTCCTGGGGACCGATTGGCCTGACTCAGAGCTTTCTCTGGGACGTAACATAATCTTCTGCACTGCTCTGTGAGCCAAAACAGACCCAATACTTGTCCCCACGGGCTCACTGTCTAGCAGGATGGGGAACATTGAAGATGCCATTATAGAAGACATCAGGACAGTTAGGAAAGTGCTGGGGTCAGAAAAAAGACCTGGGCTGGAGACAGAGAGTTTTCAAGCAACTGCATGATTTTTTTTTAAGTTTCTAAAATATTTCTTGGGTGCTTATTATGTATGTATTGTCATTGGTGAGGAAAATACACAAAAATACCTTCACCCAGTATCACAGGTCAGGAATAGACTTGCCCTTGGGAGTGGATAGCGAAGAAACAGTGTCCAGGCAGGACTCAGACTTGGGCACAGACAAATAAAAAAGAGAGGGCAATGCTAGGTCTGTTTCTTTCTCCTCCAAGAGCAGGCTGGGGAGGGAGAGAGGGAGGAGGAAAGAAGGAATGGAAAAAAAGAATGGAAAGAAAGAGGGCAGGAAGGAGGAAGAAAAAGAAAGAAAAAGAGAGAGAGAGAGACACCTCCCTGGCTGAACCTTTGGAAATATGAATGGCCAGCCTAGCAGCTGTGGTCACCACTGCTCTTAGGAACTGTTTGAATGTTTGAATGCTCACAAAGCCTTTAGGACAGTGCCTGGACATGAGGCAAACCCCCAGGGTACACTGATTAAGGCCCCCTTGTGCCATTGGGGCCATCTACTTGGATTTATCTGGTCCCTCTACTTGCTGGCCTGTGTGGCTTTGAGCATCTCACCTGAGCCTCCTCTATGACATAGAGACAGGACTGACCTTCTCAGAAACAGTGTGAGGATCAAATGAGACAGGACAGGTGAGGAATTGATGCGCAGAAGGTGCCGAGCAAAGGTATTAGTTCCCTAATGCTGCTGTGACAAATTACCACAACTTGGTGGATGAAAACAGCAGATATTTATTCTCTCACAGTCCTAGAGCCTGGAAACCAAAAATCAAAGTTTCAGCAGAGCCATGCTCCCTCAGAAGGCTCTAGGGAACAATCCTTCCCAGCCTCATCTAGCTTTAGTGGTTGCTGGCAAGACTCGGTATTCCTTGCCTTGTGGTATCATAACTCCAATCTCTGCCTCCATTGTCACATGGTCTTCTTCCCTACATGTGCCTGTGTCCAAATTTCCCTCTTTGTGTAAGGATGCTAATCACTGGATTTAGAGCCCCTCTTATCCAGTCTGAACTCGTTTTAACTTGATTGCAGTTGCAAATAACATGTCTCCAAATACAATTGACTTCACAGACGTCAGGGGTGAGAACTCGGATATATCTTTTGTGGGGGGCACATTGTGACCCACAACGGCAGGTATTCATTATGAGGATTATCGGACCCCCTGATGTTCCCACTGTTCATCTCCAGTCCCCGCCTTCCTCCTGAGCTCCAGGCCGTCCATCTCTCTAGCTGCCCATTGGATGCTGGTCTCCATGGGGATGTCCCAGAGACCTTTGAGCTCCCAACGTGTGACTCTGACCTCATTGTCTCCATCTCAGCCCTGCCCCCAAAACTTTAGAGAAATGAAAATCTACGTGAACACAATCTTGTATAAGTATGTTTACAGTAGCTGTATTCATCACCACCAAACACTGGAAACAAACCAAATGTGCAGCAACAGAAAAATGAGTAAACAAGGTTTGATACACTGAATCCTACTGAGCAATAAAGGAATAAAATACTGACATTCACAACATGGATGAATCTCAAATAATGCAATACTGAGTGAAAAAAAAATAACCCACGAGTACATCTGCACGATTCCAATTATATAAACCAATTATAAGATTTATAAGGTTTGTTTTTTCCAAATCTTGATCCACTTGTTCTATCACATTTGTTAAGAAGTCCTTCATTACCCAATTGAACAATCTGGGTGCTGTTCGGGTGACAGTGAGTAATGTGTGGATCTATTTATGGACTCTGTTCTGTCCACACCACACTCTCTTGATGACTCTGTAGTGAAGTCTGATTTCTTCAGCTGTTTCTTCCTTTCCAAGAATGGTTGCTATTCAAGATACTTTACATTTCCATGTTATTTTAGAATTAACTTATCAGTTTATGTGTGTATATATAGACATACTTATACATCCATATATATGTTGGTTGACTAGATTACCTTAAGTCAATATGGAACAATACACTGTACTTTTTAGAGTGGATGTATTGCATGATCAACAAGAAAAATTGTCCTTGCTACTTTATGTTTTTGGGTGCTGTTATAAATGGATGGGGTCCATTTGTAGGGAAGTTTTAATGCCTCATCCAATCTTTTGATTTCTTTCCATCAAGTCTACCTTACGAAGTGACTGCTGTGATATAGTCTTTCTTCGTTTGGGTGCTGAAAGTGAATTTTGGGATGAGGCAGTTTCATCCATCAGATGGTCATGTGATCATTTGGGAACCTTCCTCATTCGTTTGGTTTGTCTCTATAGGGGAGGATCATGAGATGCTGCTTGAGTTTCCCATCTCAACCCAGAAGTCCACCTCTTGAGCTTGGCTTTCAAAGACAGAGGAAGTCGAACGCCTGGTGGGGAGGACATGCCAGCAGGAGGGATCTCAGCATGAAAGCTCTGAGTTCTGGTGCTGGTCTCATCCAGAGGCAGGAGAAACTCTCAGTAGGACCTTTCTGTTCAGAACGTAGGGATCCAGCGTATGTTGAGCATACATTTTGTGGCAGGTGTTCCGAGAGGATTTTACTCCTGGAATTCTCAACGTGAACTTCCAAGTAGGGCTTCTCAGCCATGTTTCACACAGCACAAAACTGAGGCACAGATAGGTAGGGGTTGGTCTGTCACTTACTTAGTAAAGGGGCAGAGTGTGGATTATAACTAGAAACGCTTTGGTTCAAAAGCCTATATTCTTTCCTCTATTTACAGGGATTTTAACTCTACAGGAATCAGTCCCTCAGTTTTTCTTTTCTCATCAGGGGCTGTGTTCCCTCAAGCCAGTGCTGAGCCTCTGCAGATGCTCACTTGTGGGTCTTGATCTCCGAGTACTCACTACTAGTGAGCTCCTGTTCCTTCGGGTGTCCATGGTTCATCCCACAAAAGCTGAGTTTTGCATAATGGAGCTCTTCTTCCTGCCCTGAGAAGGGGGTAGCACACCTGTGGGAGGGTAGGCTGGGAGGCTGCCTGCCTGGGATTCCATCAGGGGACCCTGTGTGGAGGGAGAGAGACAGGAGTCAGAGCAGAACAGCAGGCACAGGACAATGCAGGGAGGGTCCAGGAGGAAAGCCGATGAATTCCTACATCAATTCATCCCACACATATTTTTTTTTTTTTTTTGAGGAAGATCAGCCCTGAGCTAACTGCTGCCAATCCTCCCCTTTTTGCTGAGGAAGATTAGCCCTGAGCTAACATCCGTGCCCATCTTCCTCTACTTTATATGTGGGATGCCTACCACAGCATGGCTTGCCAAGTGGTGCCACGTCTGCACCCAGGATCTGAACCAGTGAACCCCAGGCTGCCAAAGTGGAACATGTGCACTTAACCGCTGTGCCACCACGCTGCCCCCCCCCCCAACATCTTTGTTGAGATCTCTGTCATTCATGCTTTCCTCGAATATTCAATACTTAGTGAGCACTTTATTTGGTGCTTACTAATCTCATGACTTCCCACAACAACCCAATAGGGAAAATATTATTATTATCTCCCTTTTATGGATATGAAAACTGAGGTTGAACTAAGAAAGCCATATGCTCAAACTTCCTGATGAAACCAGGATCCAATCCAGTTCTTTCTGACCCTAAAGCCTGAGGCCCCCTGCATGTGAGGCCCTGAGCTGGGTGCTGGATGCACTGAAATGGACATGGCAGACACAGACTCTGACCTCTTACTGCTTACTCTTTAATTGAGGGAGGCAGAAAAAATGAGTTAAACAAATAACTATCTAATTGTGAAATATGATATGCTAGACAAGAACTCAGTAGGTGAGAGAGAATCACAGGGCCTCGATTCAGGCTTGGCACCTGCTTTTGGGAAGCTCACAGTTTTGTGAGAGGAGAAGTCAGTCAAAGAAATTATATCCCCATGGTAGGCAGAAAAACAGCCCCTCAACGATGTTTACACTCTAATCCCCTGGAACCTATGACTGTTTTAACTTACATGGCAAAAGGACTTTGCAGATGGACTTAAATTAGGAATATTGAGATGCGGAGAGTCTCCTGGATCATCTGGGTGGATACAATGTAATCACAAGAGTCTCTACAAGTGACAGAAGGAAGTAGAGAGAGATTTGAAGATACTATACTTCTGGCCTTGAAGATGGAGAAAGGAGCCATGAACCAAGGAATGCAGGCGCCCTCTAGAGGAAGGAAAAGGTAAGAAAATGCATTTTCCCCTGGAGCCTCCGGAAGGAACTCAGCCCTGCCTGCTAACGCCTTCATTTCAGCCCAGTGAAGCCCATTTTGGACTTGTGACCTCCAGAACTGTGAGATCACAAATTTACATTGCTGGATGTTGCTAAATGTCTGGGAATTCATTACAGCAGCAACAAGAAGCTAATACAGACTCACATAGAGGAGAGTGACAGGTGCCCCCTGGGGAGCATCCTTTTTGCTGCTCCCCTGACAAGTCGACACTTCACCAGAATTGCTAATGTTTGTGCTCCTACCAGTCTCTCTTGATCGTTCAAATTAAGATTCACACACACACACAACCACTTCCCCACAGTGCTATTATCCAGAACACCAGTGACCTCTGCTAGTGAAATCCAAATGGCCATCTTCAGTCCTCACCTCTCTGGACTCTGCAGCAGCAGGTGACTCAGATGCATGGCCTCCATAAACGACAGCCCTTCTTTCCTTAACTACAAGTATCTCACTTTTCCGGGTCCGTGGACCTCTTTGGCAGTCCCATTGCTGGTTGCTCTCCAACCAAATGGGGGAGGGAAGAGCATTAGACAAGGGCTGAACAGTCCATGCAAAGGCCCAGAAGCACAAGTCTCCTTCTGGTTAACAGCAATGAAAAGTCCACTTGGATGGAGCAAAGAGTGGCAGGCAGGAGGAGTGGCAGGAAGTAGACTAGACGGTGGGGCTGGGATCAGGGCGAGGCAAGTGAGGCGTTTGCCAAAAATGCAAATTTAAAAGGGGAGTCAAAAACTTTGGTAATTGAGAAAAATAGCATTTATTGAAAGATTTTTTAAATCAAAATTAAGGCTAAAAAACCCATCAAGTACAGAATATGAAAAATGTAAATAATCCAGGATAAGTAAGAGTGCCCTCCTTAACCTATTAGACCTGAGGCAGAAGAAAAAATATGAGCTTCAAATATGTGGTTTTATGTATTTTTAATGGTCAATTTTCTCCCGAACATTAAAATAATTCAAATATTACTGGAGACTTGAAATGTGGTGTGTATTAAAAGATTACTTTAAGTTTAAAGCTTTTGTGTGTACCCAAATCTATTATAATTTTCCATTTTGTGTGTACCCAAATTTATTGTAATTTCGCTTTCCTGGCTTTACTGCAAGTGAATGCAGAGAGATTATTTTCAAAATCTATTTCTCCTCCTCTCTCATTTTCAACTGAGAATGCTGCCATGTGTGACAATTTCTCTTTACCAGGTTATGATCTTAAATAGTTATTAATTAACTCCAGTCTCCTGATCCTGTCATTATGTAGATTTTTGATATTTTGCTCATCGTAGATTTTTTTCATTAATTTCAACTTTTGAAAATAGTCTGTTACAGCATTATCTCAATTACCGAGATTTTTGGCATCATTTTAAGTTTTGCATCTCAGGTGAGTGCCTCACTCTCCTCACCCCGACCCCGGCCCTTCTGGAGAGGTAGGAGCTGAGAGACCGGAATATGCAGGGCTGCGGGCTCAAGAGTTTGAGTTTTATTCTCTAGGTCAGGGGTCAGCAACCTACATACAGCCTGTGGGTGAAATGTGGCCCACTGCCTGTGTTTGTAAATAAAGATTTATTGGAACCCAGCCATGCTCATTCATTTACCTCTGGTCTAAGGCTGCTTTCATGCTCCAATAACAGAGCTGAGTGACTCCCACAGAGACTGTAAGGCCCACAATCCAAAACTACTTACCATCTGGCCCTGATAGAAAAAGTTTGCCGGCCTCTGCTCTAGATGGTGGGGGCAAACAGATGTTCAAATGCAGAAGAACTGGACCATGATGGATTGTAGATAATCGCTCTGTGTAGGGCAAGGGAGATGAGAGGCGGGGAGATGAGTCCAGGAAAGAGATCCTGAAGCCTCAGCGATGATGGGAGTCAAGATAGAGAGAAAGAGACTGATGCTAACTGTTGTTAGCAGGAAAAATGGAAAGGACCTGTTGAATTTTCGGCTGTAGCAGAAGAAAGGGAGGATACAGAGAAGATTACTTCTCTGTACATGGCCTGAAGGAAAGAGGAAGGAGCTGTAATGCTGTCGGCAAAATGGGGATCCAGCTTTGTGGGATGAGGAGGAGGAGATGAGGAAAGCAAATTTGGCCATGCTGAGTGGGGCAATCCAGGGGGCCATCCTGCAGGAGGTGTTCAGGCAGGATGCTGGATGTGGAGTCACCCAGGTCGCTCACCTGAGAGACTTAACTTGTGACTTCATTTTCACCCTCCATGCTTGTGTCCTTCATGCCCGCTGCTGACCTTGCTGCTTTCTTCCTTTCGGACCTCACTCTGAGTGAAGAGACCAGAAAGCCCTTCAGCTCAGGGTGCAGTGGGCAGACTGACCCCCTCCTGTGTTCTCTCTGAAGGGGTTGGAGTGGGTCACTGAGGTGGGACAGGGTGGTCCTCTTCCAGAGACCCCAGAGTTGAGAACACAGGCTCCCCACTCCTGGACAGTGGGGCAGAGGTTTGTGACAGACTCACCCAGGTGCCAGGGACCTCCTTCATGTCCTTGCTTCAGGCTTTCGACCCACCCAGTCCCTCCAGATCTGGATTCAGGGATCGGTGGCTGCCTGCCCTTCTCACCCTAGGGGTCTCCCTCCCTCCCCAGGGTCATATTTCACCTGATGAGGATGATGCAGAAGGACAGGAAGAGAAGGGTTTTAGCACCTGCTCCCCCGACAGCCCACAGCACCACTCCTGATAAACGTCTCGCTTTTCCTGCAGACAGATTGGATTATTGGTGATTCCCCTCTGAGAGACCCAATTCTTCTCTTCCCACTCCCTGTAGGACCCTAACTTCTGAGTCTTTGGTCCCTTTGCCAGATACGAAAACAGAGACATAGGACTGGGTGGGGGTGGGTCAGGGGGAGGAGAGTGAGTCATAGGACAGCTGGGTGCAGCCTGTTTGTATCTAAAATGCTGACACTCTTTTCACCATGGCATTTATTTTGGATTCATTTTTATTTTTTTAATATAGCATTCTGATAATATTTCTCTTGATTGCTGATGCTTTTTGCTTCTCCTTCAATTTTGTGCCCATGGTGAATGACTCACTGGGCTCACCTTCATCCTGGCAACTCAAAGCAAGGACCTCCTGTCCCCAGACACACCTGTCCAGGCCCCCGCCCCCTCCTTCAACACCCACCTCCTTCCCTGACTTGCCCATCTCAGCCCTTGCCTCACCCCACAGCCCTGGCCTGGCAGGAAGAGGACAGTGACACTCTGAGTCCCAGGGAATGTCCAGGCCTCACATCTAAGCACAGACCAGGGCTGAGTTCCCCTTTGAAGCTCAGGGGGATGCTGGGTGGACTGTGAGGGTGGGGTGGGTGCTGTCTCCTCCTCCAGCCCTTCCCAAACCACCGGTGCACTCACTCTGCACAGAGAGGCTCAGGGAGATGTGCAGGGAGCCCCGAGGGTGCTGAGCTTGGCAGGTGAATTCGCCTTCGTGACTCGACTCCACCTGGGGCAGCTCCAGGACCCCGGGGTTCAAGGGCTGTGAGGGGCTCAGAGTCTGGCTCCCACGGGCCCAGCTCACCCTGGCAGGGGGGTTGCTGTCGACAACACAGACCAGGCGCAGGGACTGGCCCTCCTGGACTGGAAGAGATGATGCATTCTTCAGGGTTGTGGGTGCTGGTGAAGAAGAGACAGAGGGTCAGAGAGACAAACATATCCAAAGAGGAAGGATGCAGAAGGAGGCTGAATGACAGACACACAGACATAAGTTGAAGTGCAGGAAAACACACACTTCACCCCTCGCTGGTGGGAATGTAAACTTGTCCATTCTCAGTGCAGAGCAACTTGGCCATATCTCTCATATTTGGAAAGAACATATGAAACAGTTATATTTTGCTTTTAGGAACTTATCCCACAGACATAGACAGAGACGCTTGTGAAGGATGAAACAAGATTGTTCACTGCGGTGTGTCTGTTAGTAGATTAAAATTAAAGCTATGATAGTCCATTAACAGAAGACGTTTACAAAATTGGAATCCATCCAGGCCATGGGATACAGCACAGTCCTGGAGAAGAATGAGGACAGTCTATGCTACCGATGTCAAAGGACAACGTAGACCCGCTAGGTGGACAAATCAAGGACCAGAGCAGTGTATGGACACTGGTCACTTCCCCGCAGGGGACTGGGTGTGAGAAGGACTGACACTTGCTCTAAAATTTTTGCCCATGCGAATATATTACCTGTTTAAAAATACTTAAATAAGCACTTTTGGGGGAAAACAAAAATACGAAGCTTGAAGAGTCATCAGAAAACTGATGATTTGGGGTCTCCAGAGGCAGCATCCGCCATGTGAATGCTGCTGTGTTCTCCTTGTGGAGCTGAGGTGGGTGGAGGAGTCTGAAGGGAGTGAGGGGTGGATAAGGACAACTGCTCACAGAGGTCATGGGGGCTGAGGATAGAAAATGACTGGGTTCACTTACAAGGGGTTCTCTGACCACTGGGCTGAGTCCAGGGTGAGGCAAGGACCCAGCCCTCTCCTGACCTGGAAGATGCTCTGCTCCCTACAGCCTGGGAGGGGGCTCCTTCCTACCTGTGCCATTTCCGAGGAAGACAGTTACGGCCAAGTTCTGTGGAGAGTCTGAGGTAGAAAGACATGGTGGATTCACATCAGTGGGAGGGCTGGGTGGACATTGGTCCTTGTCCCCAGGGGCTGCAGAAATGGGGGTAGGGTGGAGATGGGTGTCCTCCTGACTTCCTCTCCACCTGATTTCAGAGACCCAGCGCCAGTGTCTGAGACTCTGACACCCCCATCCCCGCTGGCCTCAGGACCCCATCAGGGACATGGGCGTCCTGGCCGAGCACTCACAGGTGACATTGAGCTGGATGGCCGTTTCCACAGTCACATCAGCAGCAGGGAACTTCACCTGACAGGTGAGGTTGGTGCCATGGTCCTGAGGCCGTGGGGTGAGGGTTAGCACCGAGGAGAGGCGGGCCCTGGGGCCCAGGGAGGTGAGGGCAGCCGATGTCCAGGAGAAGATGGGGGGCGTGCCCCTTTCACAGGCCCAGGGCACAGAGCAGGTCAAGTTCCTGGGGCGGCCAGACTCCAGGGTCTCCGGGATGAGGATGTCAGGTGTGTGGTTCAGGGCTGGTGAGGAGACGGGGGAGACACGGGGATCAGGAGGGAGGGTCTGAGGAGCAGCCCTGAGAAAAGCCTCAGGCTTTGGTCCAGCTCCTGCCTCTGAGTCCTGACCTGTTTTATCCCCAGCCCCCTCCCAGGATGGAGAGTCCCATCCCTGCTCTGCCCCAGGACCCCCATGTCCTTCCTCTGTGGTGATTCCAGGAGCCAGCGCCTTACCTGTCACACGCAAATTGAGCTGGTTACTTTTGTAAGAATATGTCTCCACTCGAAAAAAGTATTTTCCTTCATCTCTCCTCCTGGCGTCTCTGATGTCCAGGGAGCAGTTGTAGGTCCGGGGGTCCCCAAGGAGGTGGAAGCGGCCCTGGGTCTCCTCGTTCACTTTACGATCTGGCTCATTTGTGGCCACTGATGCATCTTGGTTTACTCTGGCCCCTTCCCGGAACCAGTAGCCATGAGCAAAGGTTAAGACCGTCCAGCTATCCCGGGGGTAGGAGAAATCGCAGGGCACAAACACACACAGGCCCTCCTGCACAGTCACGGACGCCTGCATCCGCAGTGAGTAACCCTGCAAGGGCACCCTCTGGCCCTCGGCCCCCTCCGTCCACCAGAGCAGGGCCAGCAGCAGCAGCAGCAGCATGTCTGGGGTTGACAGTGCCAGCGCCTTACGCATCACATGCACAGAGAGCTGGTTATTTGTGTAACCAGAAAGGCTGTTTCTCAGGGTTCTCTCTCAGGAACCAAAAGTTGCAAGATTTAGAGAAAGCTCCAACAGGAAGCTGAGGGCAGAACAGTGACCCTCCTCAGAGGAGGAACTTCACCCCCAGACACTGTCAGGGCCAGGACAGCCCATGGAGTCAACAATCCTCCACACACATCCACTCCTGGGGACCCTGGGACCAGGCAGGGTGAGAGCCTCACCCAAATTCACACCCCATGCAGGGCCTGAGCCCCATCTCCTGCCTTCTGGCCAATGCCCCTCCCCTTTGGGGTCATTTTTCTGCAAAGTGAAAATGGGTCCCTTCTGGCCAGACCCCTTGACTCTGTGAAGGTCATTCCAGCCAGGGGAGGGACTCAGGGAACCAAGAGATGAGGGAAGCCGACTGACGTTCCTCCCTCAGCATCACCATAGTGGGCGTCCCCTCTCTGCTCACAAGGTCTCACAGCAGCCCTGGTTTGCAGCCCTGAGTCACTGCCCAGTGGGGAGACAATAGGTGGCCCAGAAGCTGGAGTCCCCTGTGACAGGAGCCACGATGGGGGCCACATAGGCAGTGTGGGGTGTCACTCTCCCTCCAAGTTGGAGGTTCAGTGTCAGGAGGACTGGAGAAAGGGAACACTCAGGTGCTGGAGGCGAGGATTCCCTGTGTTAGCACAAGCCGGGGACGTCGAGGGGAGCCCAGCTCGGAGGATGCCCGGGAAATTGAGGCTGTGATTCTCTGCACAATGGGGTTTGGAAGGGAAGAAAGTATAGAAGGGAAGGGGAAGATTTCGAAAGGGGCAGAAACTTCCGCATTTGTCAGAGGTGTTTGGGCGAAAGGATGGATTTCTTCACCGCTGGTGGCTCATGGGGCCATGATTCTGCTCATTGCTCCAGAGCACGGCGAGGTCTGTTGGCCTCCGAGCCTTTGCCCGAGCGGGCTCTGCTCCCAGCAGTCCCAGTGTGCATGAGACACAGAGCGAGGAACGCCAGCCTGGGAGTCGTCCACCTTCAGGATGGTGAGGATTTCACGAGAGAAGAGACATGCACCTGAATTCACAGAAGATTCTTTTCAACTGTGTGGTGAGGGCTGGGAGGAAGTGGGGGGCATCTTGGGAGGTGGCGCCTCCTCAGACCATGTCGGTTTTCTTGAAACCTTTTTGGGGCAAAACATAAGACACATACAGAGACATGCCCTCATAAGAACAGCTCAGCTATTCAACACAAAATGAACACCCTCCAAGAAATAGAACGTCGGGAGCACCCAGGTCCTCCCCCTTGATCCTCCTCCCTAGCCCCACACCCCACTCGCTCCAAGGAGCCACAGCCTCACTGTAATGCCAACTGATTCCTCTCTTTGCTCTGTAGTTTTATGATCTGAGCATGCTGCCTCTAATACTCTGGCTTTGCACATGCATTTCTGATGACTTTGTATACATAGAAAAATTGCAATCTGTTTTCTTCTGTTCATGATCCTGCCCATCCCATATGATCCTCTTCCCAGAACTATGACCCAAAACCTGAGGAAAGAAGGTGCAGGTTTTGAGCATGTACAGGCACTCCCACACCATCACCGTTTCCTGCATTTTCAGCTGGAATTGCATCCTGCAGCCCCATCCCCCCCGCCACCACCCCCTACCCCGGGCTCCCCTGTCCTAGCCGCTCACTCTCCTTCTGCAGGGGCAGCTGCAGCACCTGTGGTCAGAAGGTTGTGGCCGTGCCATGCCTGTTTTCCATTGTCCCCAATTTTCAAAAAA